AGAGCCCAGTCTGTCCTATAGAACCCATAGCTGGAGGGAGAAGAAGAAGGGGATTCACACCCAAGAGTATTAGCACGACTGGAATTCGAACTCGGCTCTGCGATTCCTCAATCCAAGCCGCTATCCATTACTCCACCGTGCCTCCTAGCAGCCATGTATATATTTAAAATATTTATGTATAAAAATGTGTAATTAATAATAAAATTAATAATATTGTCGCAACAAACTTTTTTTTATCACGAACTGCTTTAAAAAAAAAACAAAGTGTTCATAAAATAAAATAAAAGGTGCAATACTGCAAGCCTATCGACGGCTAATTTTAATGAAATTTGGCACTGCACTTAACAGGAGTTCAGGGTACAATATGCTCTTAAATTGGTTGGGGTATTGCTTAAATTGTGTCTTGAGAACACACATACATACATACAAGTTTTAGTATTATATAGCTAATATAGAGATATTATATAGAGATTTAGTATTATATAGATAATATATAGAGATATTATATAGAGTTTTAGTATCATATAGATAATATATAGAGATATTATATAGAGATTTAGTATTATATAGATAATATATAGAGATATTATATAGAGTTTTAGCATCATATAGATAATATATAGAGGTATTATATAGTTTTAGTATCATATAGATAATATATAGAGATATTATATAGAGTTTAGTATCATATAAATAATATATATAGATATTATATAAAGTTTTAGTATTATATAGATAATATATAGAGATATTATATAGTGTTTTAGTATCATATAGATAATATATAGAGATATTATATAGAGATTTAGTATTATGTAGATAATATATAGAGATACTATATAGAGTTTTAGTATCATATAGATAAGAGATATTATATAGAGTTTTAGTATCATATAGATAAGAGATATTATATAGAGATTTAGTATCATATAGATAAGAGATATTATATAGAGTTTTAGTATTATATAGATAATATATAGAGATATTATATACAGTTTTAGTATCATATAGATAATATATAGAGGTATTATATAGTTTTAGTATCATATAGATAATATATAGAGATATATAGTTTTAGTATCATATAGATAATATATAGTGATATTATATAGAGTTTTAGTATTATATAGATAATATATAAAGATATTATATAGTTTTAGTATCATATAGATAATATATAGAGATAATATATAGAGTTTTAGTATAATATTGATAATTACATTGTAGTTACTAAATATGAAAAATAAATACAACTGTCATTTTTTGACGACACAGTTAAACTAGTGTATTGTAATATTAAATGCTAATACAGAAAGTATTTTAACGGAAAATGCTTTGGCATTGCCACTTCGTTGGAAGAAAACGAAAAGTCCTCAGTTCATTTTCTCCCACTCTCCGCCCCCACGCACCAAAAAAATGAAGAATTTACTTATTTTCCAAACATGCATTTTGGGCTTCTTTGCCAAGAAATTCAAAGATAGACTGTAATAAAAATAATAATAATAATAAAAATAATAATAAAAAAAAACCTGTAATTATGCAGTGGCTCGACAAACTTAGCGGAATTCCAAACGGGATTCTGGAATCATTCCACATTCTTTGGAATGAGCAGATTAGCAATGTTTTTTTTTTCACAATGATGTTTACCATCCACAAGACCCAAGAGCCACTCGAGGTAGAGGGTTACAGAATAACAGACAGAACACTTTCCATGGAAATAGCGATAGAGCAGCGAGAGGCTTGCAACTTTTAATCTGTGGGAAAGAGGTTGTAGGATGGAAAATAATTTACCACCAACAAGAACACGGAGACGCTTTTGGACTCTTTCGAAACTAGAAAGTGAAAACTAGGCATCTCCTGTTCATATATGACAGCAGTACTCCATTATCATTGGAGCGCGGACGGGAGAAACGAAGTCTGTCGCCGGGTAGAAGCGTATTCGACAGAAAAAAACAAAAAAACAAAAAAACACATGGTCACATCGGGGGTGGGGGGGAGCGTCTTCGCATGCATTCATTGCAGTCGAGACTGTGACCCCCGTGTGGGCCTCTATAAGCATAACAGATGTTGTATTCTTTGGGCACAGATCCAAGGTTTCTCACACAAACACACTCTATGATCAACACAATGACATTCACGTATTTTACATTGTTATGATTACACCTGACGATAATGAATCCAGGTGGGAGTTGTTGGGTTGTTGCCGTTCGTCGGAAGAAGCTGCTCAAGAGGAACGCTGAGAATGGCTGCCTCGATGTGGAGAGATGGTTAACGAGCACTTCTCGTAATCTCTAAAGACTAGATTGATTCAGATAATTCTTCGCTGTCTTATTTTCATGGCCTTGCTTAAGATTAAATTAAAATTTGTAAATATTGAGCATCTGACCGAATTTAGTTCGTCTTGCTGGTAATAATTGCTGCAGCATCCTTCGACCGTATTTGGGAACATCGACGTAGCGTAATGGTTAGCAAGCTTGTCTCTCTAGATCAATTACGACTGAGTAGTGAGTTCGATCCTCACTGGATGACCCATATATTTGGCCTTGTGCCGCATCTACGCTATGTTTAGAAAATCACTTTGGGCACCTGGTCGTGGCGTAATGGTTAGCAAGCTTGTCTCGCCAGATCAATTACGACTGAATAGTTAATTCGATCCTCATTGGGTCCCCTATATTTTCGGCCTTGTGCCACATCTAAGATACGCTTAGAAAATCTAAAGCACTTCGACGTGGTGTAATGATTAGCAAGCTTCTCTTGCTAGAACAATTACGACTGAGTAGAGAGTTCGATCCTCACTGGATGACCCATACATTCGTCTTTGTGCCACATCTAAGCTACACTTAGAAAATCACTTTAGGCACCTGGACGTGGCGTAATGGTTAGCAAGCTTCTCTCGCTAGATCGGTTACTACTGAACAGTGAATTCGATCCTCACTGGGTGCCCCATATTTTCGCTCTTGTGCCACATCTATGCTACACTTAGAAAATCACCATCCTTCCAACGTATTAAACTACGCTTAATAAATATTCACAAGAGAATCGCGCCATGGAGCAATTTTTAGCAAGTTTATCTCGTAGAACAGGCCATGACGCCAAGTTGCTTAATCGTTTCTTGGTAAGTGATAAACTTGGCCCAGTGATACAAACAACAGTTCAGTTCAATTTGGAAAATTGCAAACGCAATCCTCAAAGAGAAGCCAACCGTCAGTATCTGCCATTAAAAATGGCCTTGAGATTAATCTTATACTCTTTGGATAAGCTCTTCGTTATGAACTTTCCCTCTGGCTGTAGGTTAGACGACGTAGATTATCGTTTACCTCACGGAACAGATATCCTACCCCTCCTCATAATACTGTCTTACTTCCTCCTCTCCCACTCTATTAAAACAATATCCCGCAGTAACTATTTGCCTTGAGTAGCCCTTGGGTTTTTTATTGGATGAACTAACAGTAAAAAAAATCTGGTTACGAATATAAACCAGGAATGAGTTTATCTATAAAAGTGTTAACATGATTATAAGATATATATCTTAGTGTTTAAATCTGTGTTTTTCAGACGTTAATTCATGTCAGAATTCTTAAAAACTAGAAGTTTTTGGCAACACGCGTTAGTGTGTTGAGATCCTCACAGTATTTGGTGTTGTTAAAGTTATTGCTAACATTTTTGCCTAGATTTACAAAGTCTACCCATCATGGGTAAGACGATAAACTACATCTACGTCCTGGGTATGATGATAAACTACATCCGTGTTCAGGGTAAGACGATAAACTACATCCGCGTCCTGGGTATGACGATAAACTACGTCTAACAGCAAGGCTTCTGATCAGGTGGTTTTGAGGAGCGTGGAACCACCTCTTAATTGCTGGTGTTCTCACGTCCATCCTGATCCGGGGTGGTAGCACGTGTTATGGTTCTAGTTATGGGTAAATAGTTAACCCCCAAACTGGGGTCAAAACGCTATGAAAGTGTAAAAGTAGGTTTTAATACCCGAAATACTTTGTGAAAGAATTATTACCCACAATACATTTAAAATAAAATATTACCAGCAATACATATTTGAAGGAAAATTATTACCAGAAATAGAATTTTTGAAAGAAAAATTATTACCAGAAATAGAATTTTTGAAGGAAAATTATTACCAGAAATAGACTTTTGAAAAAAAATATTACCAACAATGAAAATTTTGTCGGCATTAAATAACCCATTGAGGTAAACCAAACCAAACTCTACATTTTATTCAATTTAGCATACCAATCAATGAAATTTGAATAAGCCGATTTGTTTGGAAAAATACTTTGACAAAAAACCTATTTCACGGTTTAATAATTTCTTTAATTTAATTTTATAGGACTACTTAATAAACAATATTTTTAAGAAAATTTCCTTTCTTTTTAACAGCGAAGAATTCTTAAAATTACTTACTCTTGAGCATGGAACATACAACTGGCCATACGTAAATATTTCTTTCAGGAGCCAAATTCCAATTTTTTTAAGCGTTTGACCTTGTGATTTATTAATAGTTCCCGCAAATGAAAGGCAAACTGGAAACTGGATTCTTGTATGTATAAAAACTTAAAGAAAAGATATGCCAAACCACAATATTGCATTTTTATTAAATAAGTATTTGTTATTTAATCATTAAATTGTTTTTAAAATAGTGGGAGTATTTTGTATGTTAAATAATAAAACTTTCAATTTTACAAAAAAATTAATGAACGATTTTTTTCCTAAGCTACGCACCCTCGTAAAACCAATTGTACTTTGTACCACCCCCTTACCTGTTTACACTTCTCCCCCAAATTGGGTTTCAATCGGTCAGTGTATGATTATTTTAAAAGGTGTAGCAGACAGACAGACTAACGGAAGTCACAGAATTTTATATATAGATGAAGATTTCTTATTATTATTTGATGTCCTCTACGACTCTTTGATGTTTCGTCCGGATGATGATGGTCATGAATCAGCTCCTACCCTCAGAGGCACAGCACTTACCTCAGTACATGATACCTTACAAGCAGCGCTGCTGCTTCTGCTGCTTCTTCCTCCTTCTTTCTTCTTCTTCTTCTTCTTGTTCCTTCTTCTTTCTTCTTCTTCCTTCTTCCTTCTTTTTCCTTCTTTCTTCTGCCTCCTTCTTTCTTCTTCTTTCTTCACCTTCTTCTTCTTTCTTCTTCTTTTTCCTTCTTCTTCCTTCTTTCTTCTTCTTCCTTCTTCTTTCTTCTTTTTTCTTCTTTCTTCTTTTTCCTTCTTTCTTCTTCTTTCTTCTTCTTCTTCTTCCTTCTTTTCCTTCTTCTTTCTTCTTCTTTTCTTCTACTTCTTCTTCCTTCTTTCTTCTTTTTCCTTCTTTCTTCTTTTTCCTTCTTTCTTCTTCTTTCTTCACCTTCTTCTTCTTTCTTCTTCTTTCTTCTTTTTCCTTCTTTCTTCTTCTTCTTCCTTCTTCTTTATTCTTCTTTCTTCTTTTTCCTTCTTTCTTCTTCTTCTTCCTTCTTCTTTATTCTTCTCCCTTCTTCTTCTTCTTCTTCTCCCTTCTTCTTCTTCTTTCTTCTTTCTTCTTCTTTCTTCTTCTTCCTTCTTTCTTCTCCTTCTTATTTCTTCTTTTTCCTTTCTTTCTTCTTCTTCCTTCTTTCTTCTTTTTCCTTCTTTCTTCTTCCTCCTTCTTTCTTCTTCTTTCTTCTCCTTCTTCTTCTTTCTTCTTCTTTCTTCTTTTTCCTTCTTTCTTCTTCTTCTTCTTCTTCTTCTTCTTCTTCTTCTTCTCTACATTTGTTTTCTAATCACATGTTGAATCATAACCAAAAACCCAGGGTAAAACAAATCATGTGGTTTTTATTGTTTCCACTTAATTCAACAAAAAATAAATAAATAAAATTAAATGGACAAAGCTCTTTGCCGTTTGTGCTTGCTAAAACAATTTTTTGGATTTCCTAAAGAAATAGTGCACCAAGGATTTTGTTGATTTGCCATTGAGTTTCTTTCTTTATCAGACCCAAAGTTCCGACTACAACAAGAACAGTTTTTGTTTTTAAGTGCCACATTTTTTCCATTTCCATCTCTACCTTTTTGCATTTGCTTACTTATTATTTTCTTTGATTTCTGTATCTGTCTATATTTCTGAGATGAGGTATTATGTACATTATTTACATTATTCGGACTATTATTCCATGGGTGTAGACTGTTCTCAATCTGATTTCCAAGCCTGGGTAATATTTAATAGCATTGAATTTATTATTTAATAGGCGTAGATAAGTTCACCTATAGTCCAGTTCTCACACATCTACAGACTTTAGAACAGGAGTAGAGGTTTATCCTTTGTTTCCTGTTTAGGATTGGTTTTCCGGTTCCTTCTAAAGTTTTCTCATTCTTTTTCACTCCTAGTAGCCCCTTGTGCCTTTGTGGCATTATCGTCTTGCTTGGTGGCGAATTGATTAAAAAAAAGAAAAGAAAACATTTAATTTTTATTAACCTTTTCGTCGCTTGACCGTTTCTTTCACTGAATCAGAATAAATGATTTTCAGCACTAACAGAGCCAGGGATCGAACTCACAAGTGCCAGGAAACCAGTTAGGTTTTAACTGAAGCTTTAATCCACTAGTACATGAATGAAAAGGACACGTAGCCCAGTGAGTTCAATCCCTAGGTCTGGCAGAGCTGGTGATATAATCTAGTTCAGATGAAGAAACAACCATGCAATACAAAAGTTAATGTCGGGTGAGTATTAGTAGATATAAAACATCACCTAAGCATAGAAATCATAATGAGAACAATTTACACCTGTGGATTGAATAAAGTGTACTGTTTAAAATTGCGATGAAGTTACTTGAATGTGACAGACACCTAAAAACAGCTGGAGGGTATAACGGCCGAAACTTTAACAATCAAGACGAATATGCGAATGCAAATGGATAGGCAGGTAATGTTGTGACCTTGTTTAAGTTTTATTGTTGTCATATACGTACTTTATTTTCTGTATCATTGATTTAACGCTTTCTTTGCTTACCGGCACGTGTAGGCTAATTAGTTAGACATCAAAAGGAGAAAAGAGTAATAAAATATCAAGAACATGTTAAAAATATTAAATCAACAAGTATTATTGGTTTGAAGATGCAAAAAAAGAAATGTGTCTAATTATTAAGTATTTTTATAGCATCGTTTCTTATATTGCATTTCTACGATGATACTGAACGATTTTTTTTTTAACTGTATTTGATTTCATTTTGTTTTTCTCATCAGCGTAAAAATGAAACGGCGTACATTGTTCCAATGCCATGTTCCTTCAGGCCATAGGCGATCATGGCTTTCCACAGATTTTTTTTCGTTATTATCTGTGAAATGCCATGCATTCTTGGGAAAAAAAAATTAAAAACAAAGAATTCAAAAACAAAAAAAAATTACCCCTCCCCATCCCCCAAAAAAAGAAATTAAAAATCTTTTAAAACTTACAAAAAAATTGAATGCCATGTTTTTTCAAATCATAGGCGATCATGGCTCTCTACAGCTTCCTTTTCCATTATTTTCTGTGAATTGCCATGTATTGATGGCAAAGATAGTGCAATGGCTTCTCGTTATCTTCTTCACATTGTTTTATTCAGGGAAGGATTTCTCCTAGACTGGATGCCACCCAAGTCTAGAGAGCCTACTCTACTTTGTTATTTAAACAATTTACTTTTATTAAATGCCAAGGTCGTTCAGAACGTAACCGATCATGCTCATCCCGACATATTCTCTTTTCGTCATTATCTTTGTATTGCTGTTTCTTGGGAAAGATAGTGAAGTGGTCTCCACTTGCCTTCTACACGTATTAGAATTCATAGTTTTCTTAGAATAATTGCTACCCACAGCTAGAGATCCCAGTCTACTCTTCTATTTCACCAAATTACTTTTATTACTTCTGTATGTAAGCAATCATGACTCTCCGCGGTTTCCTTAGATGTGAATTTCCCTACATTTTTGGGAAAGATAGTAGAGTGACTTCCCGATGTTTCTTTATGGTTTGGAATTCAGAGTTTTCCTTCTATTAGACTGGTTGCCAACCAAGACGAGAAAACCCAGTTTACCTTGCTATTTAATCCCTAGCTTGGGGGTAGTGATAGATTCATGTCTTTGCTACTATACTACTATCGGAATTACGATACTAACCCGCGGCTACATATTTGTAACCTTGTATTATACTAAGTATAAAAAAGCTGTCTCGTATACCATTACAGATATAGAGAGTTTGTACTGTGTGCCCTACATTTGTGTTATTGTGCTAAATTAGACTTAGTAAATATTGAGAAACTCGTTATCAATATTATCTAGTGAGCTAGTGTCGGAGATAAATAAAAGTTCGATTCCCACTGAGTACTTCATGCTTGTGGCTTTCTGTCATATAAAGAAGAAACACATTACCAAAAGGCTAACAGTCGAGTCTTGGAGACTTTCATGTGCCATGTTGCTCTTTCTGATAACATTCTGTGCATAAATATTGCATTCTAAGACATTTTTTTAATGTTTATACATTCTTTTTATAGATACAAATATTTAAGTAAATGCTCTGTTTATAATAAACAGTATTAAACAACATTTACGGGCCTGAATGTCCGAGAAGTTTTCACAGAAAATATTCGTCCTCCGACAGGATGCGAACTTGTATCCTATACGGAACCGTAATTTAGCCTGACGTGCTCTTAACCGATCGAGCCTCAGGGAATCGTTCGATTAGCAAGGTCGAATTTACTGCTTTTAAACTTCAATCTTCCATGATTCTCTCACGTACATTCATATCTGCTCATGGTGTATCCAAATGTAAACAAATGACGTCAGACATTATGAAATGGACAAAGTCCGACAATTATTTTTAAGATGTTTTTTTAAATGTTTATTGCATTCTATGCAGAAGCTTCTTTTATGTGACGTTTCCCTTCAGGGCGTAGGCGATCATGGCCCTCCATATCTTTCTGTCTCTTGTAGCTCTTAATAAGTTTTGTCTTTTTGTTATTTCATCCAAACCCTGTTCTACCATCCATTTACTCAAGCCCATCAAGTATGTTACGCGCTGTTTTCTTTTGTCCGTCTTTTCCTCATTCTGCCCTGTGAGTATCACATTTTTCCAAGCCCTCTTTCCTCATTATTTACCCAAGCAATTTCAACTGCCACCTAAGTATAAATTTCCGTTTTGTTTCCATTCTCTCTAAAACAATGTTGTTCACTTTTTCGGTTCATGGTATCCTCACCATATTTCTGTAGAACCCCATCTCTGTTGCTTCAAGCCTCTTCATCTTTGAGGAGATTGTCCAGTCTTTGCTTCCATACAGGAGGACAGATATCACGTAACAGTTCAATACTCTTTTCTTTGTTCACAAGGAAATTTTTCTCTCTTAATACTCTGCTAGTGGATCTTTGGCCATCCCAATACGTCTTTGGATCTCAATGTCATACTTTTCATCCTCTGTTAGAATACTTCCCAGAAATTCCTGTACCTGCTTGATTTACTGATATCCCCCAACTGTAATTTACTTCGCCCCCTTATGTAAAACTGAAGCCAATTTATCTGTCCACTCAAGTGGAACGTTATACGAGAAAAGTGAGAAAATACATGCAAGAGCTAGTGACAAAAATAGCTCAAACTACCTCATCGTTCTCACAGTTGCAAAGTTTTCATCTAGAAAAGTTGACACAAGTTAGGAGATTTTTCTCGCCAGAATCTATTTTACATATTTATAAGTCTACCATTCATCCTTGCTTTATATATTGCTGCCATATCTGGTCTGATGCTTCTGCTATATATTTAGAGATTCTTGATAAAATCCAAAGAAGAATCTATCTTACATATTTATAAGTCTACCATTCATCCTTGCTTTGAATATTGCTGCCACATCTGATCTGGTGCTCCTGCTATATATTTATAGATTTTTAATAAAATCCAAAAAAATATTCTCAATAATAATTCCTGACCTAGCAACTCTGCTGCAGTCAATTTTCCACCAACATAATGTAGTTTTCCTGTGCATTTTCTATAAATACTTTAATAGTAATTATTCTGATCATCTTTCCCCGATGGCACCTAGACCTTACAAGCTTAAACACTGTACTAAACTAGCAACAAGGTCTCATCTATTTACAGTTGAATTGGCTCGATGCAACCGTAAGTTCTATGCTAAGAGTTCCGTCTCTCGCATTTCTCGCTTGTGGAGTTCTTGTCCGGTTCTATGCTTTCCTGACAACTTTGATCTTCAAAAATGTATATGCAAAGTCATTCGCTATCTACTATCTTCTGGATTACTTTGCTTTTATTGTTCTGGCTCTTTTATAATCTTTCTCTTTTTATCCTTTCATGCTCATTAACATCTTGTGTCTTAGTGTCTTTACTACACAGCTTGAGATGAAACGATTTATATATATATATATATATATATATATATATATATATATATATATATATATATATGAGAAAGAGGTTATAGTGGTTCCAACGAGAGAAAAGTGTGTATATTAAAAAGAAGAGAAGAGAGGTGCCGCAAACGTTTTTGGTTGTAATGTGGATTTTTAAAAAAAAATATTATGCTTTATTTTCCATAATTTTACTACACGCGTTTCTGGTCTCACGACCGTCTTCAGGTAAAAAGCGGAGATTTCCACATATTATTAAAAATAATTATTTTTTTTCATTATGTTTTTCAATGTTAAATATTCTCGATATGAGACATTCTCTGTTTTTGTGTTAGTAATCCGAATGTCGTTTTTGAATTTGCAGTATGTGGAAATCTCCTCCTTTTATCTGAAGACAGTCGCGAGAC